GTTCTCTGGTCGTCATGTTACAATATCCGTACCGGCAGAAAGGTTCGGATATTATGCATCCTCCCTCACTTTTGGATACATCCAAAAAAGTAGGCATCGGCCCGGATCCCAAGCCACCCAGTGTGTCTTGGGGCGTAATTCGTCTTCATACTGTTGTAATCCAATCCCAGATGCAATGACAAAAACACTCCCGCCGCCCAGCTCTTGTATACGTACCCGTCGGCCACCCGAGCTCGACGAAACAACAGCTACGTACAAAAAATTATATTTATCGAGAGAGGGAAATGTGTCCGTGTGCCCGTTTCTCCATCACAGACATAAGGATACGTCGGCCGAGGTAATGGTCAGCGATGTAACTCGAATAGTTAAAGTACCCATCGGTGGAAGTCACTTCACAGCAGTATTACAGTATGTTCTCGAAGTACAAAAGTCGAAATCTACATTGACCGAGACATTGATCGAGATATCGTCGAAGCCAGACGGCCCAACAAACAAAACAGAAACAAAGCATGTGTCACATTATCGTCGGTTGTTTGGGGTGCTCGGCAGAGTATACTGTCTACGGGACCTCCGGGGGGGATACGCGGATGAAATGTGTTGATGGGCATGCTGCATGGCGATGGTGTTGCCTACCGCATGTCTCTCACTCTCTAATCAACAAAGGTCTTGAGTCAACCTTCTTTCTCTTTCGGCCTCTGACGGGCTACCGCACCCAAACACAATATATTGTATGGCCTGGTGTTGGTAGTGGGTATTGGCGTCTGAGCTGTATGTGCCGGGCCAATGGGGCGGCGAATACGATATATATAGCTAAGCTGGGACGTGGCCAACGGGGACGGGACAGCACGGCAGCGGGTAGTGTATAGCTGGGACGGTGGCCATCGGGGACCGGGACAGCAGGGGGTGTATTGCTGGGACAGCGCTTCAGGGCTGGGACAGCAGGGTACGGGATATTTTTCAAGTGTAGACTATGGCGGAGAGAAGCGGCGGAATAGGAAGAGATTCGCAAAGGGGGGAGACTACAGTTGTGCGCATCAAGATGGAGGAGAGGTCGCGCAACGCAGCAGAGAAGCTACGAGCTGCCGAGTCGGAGGTGGAGAGGCTGGTGAAGGTGCTCAGAGCTGCGGAGGCTGCCGAGTATGAGAAGGAGAGACTTAGGCGGCAGCAACAACAACAACAACAGCAGCAGCGATGGAGTGCTCAATGGCAGCAGCAGCCATCGCAGGTACAGCAGTGTTCTCGTGGTGGTTTTGTCCCTCAGCAGAACCAACACTGCGTTTTCACTCAGAGCCACCAGGCGCGGCAGCACCAGCAGTTGGCGCGGCAGCAACAGCAGCCGCCGCCAACCGGAGTTGGTGGGATATATGACTGCGGGAGCAACGCCGTGTATTTCCAGCAGGAATCACCCCCTCCGCCTGGTACGGTATACCATTGCACTCGGTGCGGCAGGAACGGCCACCGCGGCGAAGAATGCGCCGCACCCCGCAGGTTCGAGGGTACGTGCGGCGCCTGTGGTCAGTACGGCCATATGTGGCGGAACTGCGCCGTACATCTTCATGGCAGCAGCGGCGAGGATGACGGCCGTATCGTCCGCAGTGGCTGCTGGATGGGCGTCAATGGCGGCGGCAGCTGCATGGACATCGGTGGAAGCTCGGTCGTACAGCAGCAGGTGGTGGTAGAGAGCGAGTACCGCTCTGATTTTGTCGACCTGGTTCACGTTGGCGGCGAGGTGATGGCAGAGAGCGAGTACCGCTCTGATTTCGTCGACGTGGTTCACGCTGGCGGCGCTGTGGACGGTGATGATGACGGATGGTTTGGATGGAATGATTCTGTGGACATGGTTCACGCTGGTGGCAGTGTCTGCGATGATGTTTTCCCCGCCGCTGGGGCGGGAGAAATGGCCGGAGCGCCTGCGTTGGCGACTGGAGT